AAAAGCAAGCGGCCAGTGTAGACAGCTGGCAAGTTATTCTGGAAAAGCGGCTGCTTTTCCGGAATAAGTGGCCCAGTGTAGACACAGCCCTGTAGTCTAGACACACCCTTAGTGAAAAAGGTCGTGGATTCTAGAGTCTAGAATTTATCACCTTTCATATTGAATAGGGGGTACGGGAAGGTTTACTAAAAGCCAAGGAGGTACGGGGACCGAAAAAAGTTGGGAACCCCTGTACTAGGAGCATCACGGTGGCCCCCAAGGCTTCCAAAGTTGAGTAGCTCTGATGTAGAGGGACGGCTGGAGGGACGGTCTATATGGGGATTGCCAGGCACACAGCCCCATATTTCTGGTGCTGGACTTGATGACGACTTGGACACGAGAGAACATTCTGGACACCAGGTGCCTGTCACCCCCTTCCTGCAGGAGACCCTCCACAACCTGACACAAAGCAAAACTCAGCTCTGGGTGGGACTGTCCCACCCCTCCCCGGAGAAGGCCTGGACCTGGCTGGATGGATCCCAGCTGGATCAGACCCGGTGAGTGATTCCTTGAGTCACTTTCCCTGTGTGGGCAGAAGGGGACAGGGATGGGGAGGGCAGAGGAGGAGCAGGGATGTTCAGGGTGAGGTGACGCTGAGGTTGTCCATTGACAGTCTGTGGAGGGAGCAGAGCAAAGGGGTGAGGCCGGAGCCTTGGGGATCCCCAGAGAGGGGGGCAGGAGAGGGGCAGACATGGACCAGCCAGAGGCAGGAGGGGACCAGGAGGGGCAGCGTCGGCACAGCCCGGCAAGGAGGAGCCGTGGGGCAGGAGAGAGATGGGCAGGGCCTAGCGCAGCAGGGAGGAGGGAGCTGGAGCTGGGCTTGGGCCAGGGAGAGGCCGTTAGAGCCCCTGGGCTGGGCCCCAGGGCAGAGCTGGGGGAGAGGACAGGGCAGCTGCGGATCCTGTTACCCCTGGCCAGGCCCTGGCAGTGGTGGGGAGGGGCAGGCCCCAGGGCAGAGCTGGGGGAGAGGACAGGGCAGCTGTGGATCCTGTTTGCACAGGGAAGAGCTGCTGTCGAGTGAGTGTGATGGACCCACAGGCGCTCTCCTTTGTCCCACAGGCTCCCGGTGTCAGGCCCAGCTGAAGGGAACAGCTGTGGGATGATGAAGGGGAATCGGATTCATTCACAAGACTGCAACTCTGCACACCAGTGGATTTGCCAGCGAGACGCCATCCCCCTCTGAGCAGGGAATGGAGGAGACCTCAGAGTGCGGCTCCGTTATCCCCGTGTCACACCTGGGGAAACCGAGTCACAGACACTCACCTGCCCAAGATCACACCGAGAATTGGTGACAAAGCGGGAAATGGAACCCAGGAGTCCTGGCTCCCAGCCCTCCCTCAGCCTGTAGAAGCGAGTCCAAGCTCCGGTTTTGCTGTTCCAGCGGGGCTGGGCTGTGGGGTGTCAGGCTGTGCTGAGCCTTGGGGACATTTATCCCTAACCCCCACCCCTGGTACTGGGGAGAGAAGAGTCTTCCCCAGAGCTCCAGCTCACATAAATCAGCCAAGATCCAGTGTGTCCCAGCTGGGCAAGAGCTCCTGTGCAAGAGGGCTTAGAAAAGAGAGTAGCTCTTGCGCAAGAAGCCTTCTCTTACCACGCCGTACTGTCAATTTCCTTGTGCAAGAACACACGGGCAGTGTAGACACACCCCTGGTACTGGGGAGAGAAGAGTCTTCCCCAGAGCTCCAGCTCACATAAATCAGCCAAGATCCAGTGTGTCCCAGCTGGGCAAGAGCTCCTGTGCAAGAGGGCTTAGAAAAGAGAGTAGCTCTTGCGCAAGAAGCCTTCTCTTACCACGCCGTACTGTCAATTTCCTTGTGCAAGAACACACGGGCAGTGTAGACACTCTGCGGATTCTTGCGCAAGAAGCCCCACTCCAGCCCCACGGACAGGACCAGGTCACCTCATCCAGGTCACAGTCTCTTGGCTCCACTTTCTGGTTTCTAGGCCGGTTTGCTGCAGATCCAAGGTTGACAGTTTGAGCAGCCGGAACTGGCGACGACGCTGTTGTGGCTCAGAAAAGCGCATTGTGCTTCTCCTACGATTGGCGTTTGAGCAGCCGGAACTGGCGACGCTGTTGCGGCTCAGAAAAGCGCATTGTGCTTCTCCTACGATTGGAAACCTGCAACAGCAACAAACCATCAACAACCTTCCACGGCTGCTGGAGCAGCTTCCCCAGTAGTGAAAATCCAGCCCTGAGCAAGTCACCCCAGGTCACACTGCAAATCTGTGGGGGAGCCAGGCACTGAACCCCCATTGCCCAAATCACAGGCCCAGGTTGTAACCACAAGGCCAGTCTCATTATAAACCGAAATATTTATTGAATTAATAGAAGGGGACCCACCAGTTGTTGAATTCGGTGTCGTTGGCCCATTTCCAGGCTTGGTCCGGTTCCCTGTGGAGGCCGATCCAGTGGTCAAAGGATCCTTGATTACGCGCCAGAAAATCCTTTGTTCAAAACATAAAAGTCAATATACCGTATTTTCCGGCGTATAAGACGACTTTTGATGCTAAAAAACATCCCCCAAAAATCGGGAATCGTCTTATACGCCGGCTTCCCCTGAGGCTTTGCAAAGCCGCAGAGGGGCTCCGGTGGTGGGGCAGCCCAGGCGCGCCGGGGCTGTCCCGCTGCCGGGGCGTCCTCAGAGGCTTTGCTCCTGGTGTCCCTGGTCTGCTGGAGACGGTCCCCCTAAAAAATTAGGGGGTCGTCTTATACGCCCAGTAGCCTTATACGCCGGAAAATACGGTACATCAAAGGGCCCCTCAGTCTGGCCCCATTTGGCCATAAAAGTTGGCAGCAGCCCTTAATCTTGCTCCTCGCTTGGCAGGACCAAAAGGGGAGGCGGGAGGAGCCGGGGCGGG